GGATACTTAAAGTGTCCGCGCCGATTACGAGTGACACTGTGACCGACAATAGATGAGAATGAAGACAATTAGTTCAGATGGACCATTGACCGCCACACTCGGAACTCGAAGCCTCGCTGAAGGGAATTACGTAATACTGGTGGCACAATGCACGGTGGCGGCAAGTCACGTCGCGTCGCGGCATGTCACGTTGCGTCGCGGCAGGTCGCGTCAAGTCGTGTCATGGCAAGTCGTGTCGCGTCATGTCGTGTCGTGTCGCGTCGCGTCGTGTCATGTCACGGCGTGGCATGTCATGTCATGTCATGTCGCGTCGTGTCATGTCGCGTCGTGTCATGTCATGTCAAGTCAAGTCGTGGCACGGCGCGGCGCGTCATGTCATGTCTCTGTTGTACTGTGTTTGTCTCGGAGCCACTCTTTCGAGCCGGTCGGTTCTCCAGTCCTCTCGACCAAGTGACTAAATACAGTAGGAATATGCCATAGATCTAGCCACATGTTATAACAGCTGTGCGAATCAAAGAATTAAGCTTGGGGGCACTCAGTTACTCATAGGATTGACCAACTCGGAATCAAGAGACTTGTCGGGGCAAACACAGTACAACAGAGACATGACATGACGCGCCGCGCCATGCCACGACTTGACTTGACATGACATGACATGCCACGCCGTGACATGACACGACGCGACGCGACACGACACGACATGACGCGACACGACTTGCCATGACACGACTTGACGCGACCTGCCGCGACGCAACGTGACATGCCGCGACGCGACGTGACTTGCCGCCACCGTGCATTGTGCCACCAGTATTACGTAATTCCCTTCAGCGAGGCTTCGAGTTCCGAGTGTGGCGGTCAATGGTCCATCTGAACTAATTGTCTTCATTCTCATCTATTGTCGGTCACAGTGTCACTCGTAATCGGCGCGGACACTTTAAGTATCCCAGCCTGTGATACCATAATGGGAAACTTTAAGTATTCCATTCTGGGATACTTAAAGTATCTACGATTTCGGTATCCGCATATACAGTATCCGGAGCGAGGTTACTTTAAGTATTTCATACGGTATCGCATAGGGTATCGCACGTGCAGATACTTTGTTATGCTTGCTGTGTAGGAAGGCAGCCACCGAACGGACGATTGTGGCGGTGGCTGGTGGCGCGCCAAGGCTCGGCATGGTGCAGCGGGGGTGTGACGTCAGGCCATTGCAGAACCGACCGCCGCGGCTCAGGCTGCTCCCTGCTTCGCTCAAAAGTCGCCTGCTGCAGCGATGGAGCCGCCCAGAGTCCCGCTAGTCCCTCCTTTGCACCACCGCCCCCTCCCCGCCTCGAGCTGCCCGCGATGTTTCTGGCGTACAAGCACTACTACTGGGTCTACGCGTGGATACCCGTCTTTGGAGCGTTCATCTGGTTTGGTGAGTCGCTCTGGGAGCTGGTGCGGCGAAGGATGGCGAGCTTACGCACGAGACAGGCACGCTATGGGCGATGCTAATTACTTGGCTGGCGACGGGGAAGCCGCAATATGTCACGCAGCAGGGGAGCATCGCGTACATCTCAGATGTCGGCGCGAGCTACCTCAAGCCCTTGTTCATCGTGTGCTGCTGTATAACGGGCGTGACATTCTTCCTGACGCTAGTGGTTGAGAGATGGCTGCGGCATTCCGGGAGGTGCGTACTAGTCATGCTCCTGTTAACGCGAGCACAATCTGAGACTGAGCGATGCGCAGGCTGCACCCGAATATGCGCCGACGCGAGCGCATCTTCTCGACGCTGGCCGTCCTCGGCTCGTTCATCGGCGGCGCGGGACTCATCCTCCTCTCCATCTTCGACACCGGGCGGCACCAAAGCCTGCACCGTGTCTTCCTGCTCGTCTTCATCATCGGAGTCGGGCTCTCTGCCATTTTCACCATCGTCGAGTACCGTTGGATCAACAAAGACTACGACGGCCAGCGCAAGCTCCGCATCGCGTACATCGCGAAGGGCATCATCGCCGTCGTCCTCATCATCCTCGCCATCGTGTTCGCGATCACGCTGTACACGACGGCGGACGTGGGCGCGGTGATCGAATGGGTCATCGCGTTTGGGTACACGTTCTACCTGCTGACGTTCTACTACGACCTGAGGATGTCCCGGGGGATGCGCAAGGGCGCGTACTTCGACCAGGAGCTGCTTGGCCGGAGGAGCGTCGAGAGCGGGGGCACGGCGGGCACGATGCGCCAGGTCGGTGGGCCGGCGTACGGGAACGGGGGAGTTGAAGGGAACGGATACGGCAATGGATACGGCAATGGACACAATGCCGGCCAAGGACCGTATGGCGTACAGAACGCGGGAGGCGCGAATTTGCAGCCTGCGCGTGCGGCTGGGTATTGAGATGAAGTAGAGTTTTAAAAGGACTGGCGTTGACGATATACGTATACGACGAATCACTACTACCGTGACTACGCGTTGCGAACCGCGGACTTTGATACCTCCAAAACGAATACTGTACAACCAGTGCGTGCTAATGATTTCTTGTATCAAATAGAACAATGATCCACAATCTTCGCCAGTTTTATATCGAGAGCGTATACCAAGTCCACATATCGAAGAGGGAGGACGACAACTCGAAATGAGCGCGTCTGAGGAACACGCTCCAACATCAGTCACGTGCAACGCGTCGCACTGCTTGAGCGCGCCTTCTCGCCAGCTCTCAGTCACCCAGGGCCGCCTCGCTCGTCCAAGGCCTTTACACAATCTCTCCTCTAATATGTCCCATTCAACAATATCCCTCCCATCCTCAAACGCGCCCTCGCGCTCCCGCACCCCCATCCCCCGACCTCCTTCCTCGCCCCTCCGCGCCACCATCCCCGGCTCGCCCAATACACCTACCCCCGCCAACATGCGCCGCATCTCTAGCACTAGCCCGCTTGTGCACGCTGGTGCGCTGCCCACCTCCCCGCCCCCCGGGCCGAGGGTGTCTCCGCCTGCGGGCGGCGAGCGGCCGAAGACGCGTGCGAGGGACTTGTTGAGGAAACACTACGGCCTGGGCGTGGGCCCGCCGCCGCCGCTCGGTGGGCCGGCGAGGGTTGCGGACCCGATGGACTTGGGTGAGTCTGCCGTGTGGATGCGTGCGGCCTCGGTGACTGATGGGATGACATGGAGACTCGTCGGCGTTCGACGCGAAGGCGTACTACGGGCAGCTGATCACGACGAGCTCGCTGCCCTCGCTACTCAAGCGCGAGAACGAGCTCCTCTCCGAGATGCGCGAACTTGATAGCGAGCGCCAGAGCCTCGTGTACAACCACCACCACGAGCTCATCGCTGCTAGTGACACTATCGCCGCGGTACGTCCTCTCGCCCACCGTTCGTTCACTTTGCTGGTGTACTGATGGATGAGGCTGCAGATGAAGTCCCGCGCGGACCACCTGGATGCGGACCTCGACCTGCTGAGGGCAGCGTTCTCCGAGATATCACGTCTGTCGACGGAGATCACAGGACGAGACTCGTAGCGGGATCTCTATCGAGTTAGCTCTTCAATGCAGCTGCACGAACGGTATCGCGCAGTGTGTCGGCAAGCCTGCGATCCTCAGGCATGCACAAGGCAGAAGTGCACGCCGGAGGGTGACATTGAGGCGTCCACACCAGGGCCTGTCACATTACGGTTTGCAAGGCCATCCCGTACCTCGATCGCGCTCTGGGTAGATCGCAAGGCGCGCTGGGTAGGCATGGGCTCGCCGGCGGGAGGAGGTTGTGGTTGTCTAACTGTACTTAGGTATCCTCTCTAGTGAAAGAGTACAGCTCCATTTTTAGGACGTGGGTGCTTCTGCTTCCGCCGCTCGTCAGAGCAAGGTTCTTCGGAGTCTTCCTCCGTCGAACATGTCCACCCCTTTTTCACACTTGTTTATCGTTGTTGTAGGCCGGCCGAGCTCGTCTGAGTACAGCGTCAGTACAGTAACTTTGGCAAGTCACAAGATCATCCAGCCGTCCTGCCTGTGGCACCGGGATGGGTTCCTTCTCCTGAGTCTCTAACAGTGTATTGCAACGATCACTCCCGGGCCAAGTATTGCTCAGGTCCTGCGGTTACAGGCTCACGCTTGCCGCGCGATTCTCTTAGGCGACTTCATCGTATATTATATTGACAGACCCCCTGAGCTCTGGACGGACGAAGCAGAACAATTGCATCACTCGCAGACTCGTGAAATGCGCTCGTCTGTGCAGTCGTGATATGGGTGCCAAGATCGCCGGGCAGCTCGCTGACACGCAAAGTCTCAGCGCGTACATCATGGGCGGCGCGAACACGACCTCCGTCGGCGTTGCCACTGATAGCAACAGTGTAGACGTCCTGATGCGTCCTAAGGCAGCGAGCCGAGTAGATGGTGCGCGCCGTGCCTGTGTCTCGCAGGGATACTTACTGATTTTAGGCTCACAGGGAACATCGCCGCGCAAGTGTTGTACTACCTTCAATGCCTCCGCGAACGCTATGTCGCGCGTTCGTCATGTCCCTGCGAGAAGGCATGCGTGCGACCGGGCTGCGGGTCATTTCAAGTGAGTAGTACTAGTCAGGCCTTGGCCTTAACACCAGCACCTGTCTGGGCCTTCAAATTGTTCAAGTTCATCTGCATTCTTGATCGATATTCTATGCGGATGATCGGCAGCTAGTCGAATGATGCTCAAGATTTCATTCCAAGTCCTTGCCATTTGCACAGTGCGTGCAAGGTTAGGACCGCCACCGTTGGCGGCACTCGTTCGGAAATGTTACAGCGGAATCGGCAATTTGGCAATTGTCATTCTGGCAGGTGCTGGTGCTGCAGACTCTCGACATGGGCAGACACGGGCGACCCGCTTTCGCTTTCATTATCTGTGCGGCCGCACGGGGAGTCTTCTAGTAGTGTATATGAAAGCACGGACTCGGGACTGTGGATATACTTATGTAGTTCCTCTCAAACGGTCCTTCGGCTAGCCTTTTGTCCTGTTCGCTGGTGCGCGTATGGGCTATGATTTAACTTTGCGGGTAAAAATTTGAGACACTATGGCCGAGTGGTTAAGGCGACAGATTCGAATTAGTTGGAAGTGCAGGATTCGAACAGTATCTGTTTCCCGTCGGGAGCGCAGGTTCAAATCCTGCTGGTGTCGCTTTTGCTCCTATTCGCCATCTTCCCAATCATCATTTTACTTGTCTATCCGTTGGCCCGTTGAGCCTGCGATTTTCTGAAGCGGTGGTGTGCGTACATTGACCCGCTGATGGGAGCAATGGGTCGCCTTCCATATTGGGGGTACGCCGAGTCATCCCCGAGGCGTTGTCCGACTCCGGGCCGGGCCCAACCCGGGCCATCGGGCGGCCTGTACATGATGTGATCCACAACCTACGCACGCTAACACAGCCAACCGGCAACTAACAGCTTGGGCTTGGCGGTGTTGCAGTCTTCCTGGCAAGGTCGTGCTACTCGGGCTGTCATTCAATTCGGGCAGCTTTTCGAGATGTCTCTGCCACTGGCACGGCGAGCTTGCGATGCTGCCAGTGCCTCAGTAACTTGAAGGAGATCATAACACTGGTCAAGCAAAACGTGCGCTTTGGTCCTCTTGATTTGTCTGCAAGGACGAAGGTAACTGCAGTATGTAAAAGGATCATATCTATGCTGACGTGTACAACTTTTTTGTAGCCTTTGACACACTCGGGCCCATAGATCCGCCCAGAGCTTCTCGAAGAGCTCGTTCAATCTCAACGGATAGCAGTGCATGGCGTCTACGATGCTGTCAAAGTGGATTACAGCACGTTTCAATGCGTGGCAGAAGGCCGTACATATGGCGCCAGCTGAAGCAGGTCAACCCAGCGTCTCAGGCGACAATGCGTAAGATGTGTTGCATTTGCTGGTCCGGCGTGGCGCGCATGACCAGAGAATTCTGGGCTGCTCAGTTTATGCGCGGCCAGATTCGAGTATACGCTGACCACTCCGTCAGTGTGTGCGGGTATAACAACCTGTTCTTTGATTGAATATGCCTAGTGCCTGCCTTGCAGTTTACTGAAGACAAGCACGTCCAATGTCTCGAACAGTAATTGCAGCCCTGGACATCGGTCATGACGGCTCATGCCCGTGAAACCGAAGGTGGGGGTCGATCAGCGCAGTCCATCGTCTGCATTCACGGTTCTTCAAGTTGATGCGCCGGCCATTTTTTCACTGTGATTCCACCGCTCAATCCTGATGAAGCACAGGCCTGACCAGGATGGGCAGCGCGCGTCGTGGACGATGAGACCCGTGAAGACCGAGTACATTGGCATGCTCGGACACCTGTTCAAATATAAAAGCACGGCATGGCATCGTGATCCAGCATTCCATTTCTTCGTTATGATTTTGGGCTCCCTTCTTTTCCTCCTCGCGGGCTCTGCTTCTGCTTTGCGACTTCCCGTGCAGCGGCGAGTCACGGGCCTTCAGCCTCGGTCGACTACCGCAGTCCTCACGAATCCGGATAATGTCAGCAACACTGGGTTCACCGATGCCGGAAACGGGCTCTATACTGCGACTCTGTACATCCAAGGCGAGCCATTCCAGGTACGTGGTAACAAAGGGCACGCCTCTCTTTCAGTTGGGTCCCAAACTGACATGGTGCCTTCTATCTCAGGTGCAAATCGACTCGGGCAGCACAGATCTATGGGTCAATAGCGAAGGTGTCGACCTTCAGGGTCTTACCGACACCGGGGTCCACAGCACCACGCCCTATGAGTTCGTCGTGAATTACGCATACGCATTTTACTCTCTCACCACCTACCTTCGTAGGGATGGCACCGTGGCCGACGGACCAATTGTCCTGGCAAACGTCACGCTTGGCGAGTTCACCGTATCGGGTCAAGCGCTTGGTGCGTCGTCGCCTTGGAAAGCCCAGGATGCCTCAGTCTCACGGCCACTTCCTGACAGTGACTGCTCCTGGCAGTAATGCCACGACCCCTGGTGAAGATCTGGGTCTTCTCGGTGTCGGCCTGTGAGTACTACGTGGCTGCCTGTGGTAACTGTGCCTCACCGACAGTTGGACTATAGGCCTCTGGGTTCTAGCATTCATCATGATCTGAACGGAACGTCGTTCAATGGTCTGCCTTTCCTCCAAAACGTGAGTTCCCACGTGCGACGAGAATCTCCACGAGCTTCACACCACCAATCTTAGGTTTTCTACGAAATTCCGGACGAGTCCAAGTTCATTACTCTTCTGTTGTCTCGAACGGAGCTCGGTGACGCCTCACATACTCAAGGCGGCGCACTCACGATTGGTAAGATCCAATGCTCGCTTGAGGATAGTAGGTGACTAAGCTGCTGATACAGGTGAGCTTGTGAGCAACTACTCCGACATCGTGGATACCCCTCGTTTGCCTGTGGTTAACCAGGAGGCGTGGTTCACCTGGATGGACGGCATCACCGTGAACGGCGTATTCCACCCCGGAAATGGTTCCAGGTGAGCCGAATATTTATTGATCAGCCCTTGTATGGCCGGTACTAAATTCAAGCATCTCAAACTCAGTGTCGCCAAAGATGCATCGAAGTTTACTGTTCAACCTGGGGCAAACCAGAGTCTCATCCTTCTGGACAGTGGGACCGCACTCGGTACGGTCGTTCTCCCCTATCCTTGGAGACTTCTGATCATCGGGGGATGCTTCTTCAGCCCGGATTCCCAGATACTATCTGGACGCGATGTTCCAAGACCTCCCTGGCGCCGTCTATACCGAGCAAGACTCGGACAATCAGAGCTACTACACAGTTCCCTGTGAGACCAAAGTCAACATCAGCATGATCTTTGGGTAGGTCTCCTTGCTGCGCCCCGCCCATCGCCCGAACGCTGACATGATTTACCGATTGCAGCAACAACAGCTACCCGGTCCACCCGCTTGACTCCGTCCTCGTGGAGGTAAACAACACAACGGGGGCTGTGACGTGCCGTAGTGCGTTCAACGTCAATGACGACCCGCGTGCGTCTCTACATGGCCCGCAGAGTTGTGTGCGCCTCTCACAGTTGTTTCTCAGTCTGGATCCTGGGCGACACGTTCATGCGCAATGTCTACACCCTGTTCTATCACGGAAACGGCTTCCTGCCGGGCGCTGCTGACGAGTCCACTGCGCCGTACATGCAGATCCTCAGCGTGTGTTCATCGCTCTTTCGGCATCACCATTCACTGAGCCCACTTGCCCCGATAGCTGACCGACGCCGACGAAGCATTCGCTGAGTACGACGAGATGAACGCGCGGCGCATCGCGGAGAACGAGTACGAGGTCTTCGCCGACCTGTTCAACCTCACCAGCTCCACCGTGTTGGCGGCTTCTGCGACGTACACCTACTCCCTCGTCAACGTCTCCGCTGCCACTGCCACTCCCGCGCCTGCCGACATCTTCCTCAGCACGTCGACCCTCAGCACGTCGACCCTCAGCACGTCGACCCTCAGCACGTCAACCACGAGCGCGGACGTGATAGCGGCTGTGGCAAAGACGCCCGGATCCGCGTCCGTGACTTCTGGTACGTCCGTGTCACTGGCCGAATGGACAGAGCTGAACCGCAACATCTACATCATTATCGGGCTACTTAGCGGTGCACTAGCGCTTGGTGTCGTCTGCTTTGTGTTGGCTATCAAGCCCTGCTCGAGTAGGGGGTACAGCAGGATACAGGGGGTCCCTCCGGCCACGTTCAAGGAACCGGAGTCGACGCCGCTCACGGCTGCTTACCATGACCGCAAGGACTAATGATGTGCGTATTTATTGGCATACTTGCCGTGACCTCTCTTTATCCGTGTATAATCTATACCGGAACAGTAATATATTGCAGCGGTTCTTGGTCTTTGCAATGTTGCTGTCAGGCTGTGACTGGAGTGTGCATGGCCTCCGAAAGAAGGCAACAGTCGAACTTGCTTGATGCGCGGGAGTCATGTCGCACAGGCTGCATGTAGGAGGCAGGCTCAGTCCGGTCCCTCCGGCAGCTACAGCCCGCCGGAAGAAACTATCATTTTCTACTAGAATGGCTCTCTATCAGCCGTCGATTGAACTTGTGCAATCCAATATATTGAACTCGCCACATTTCCTGTAATTGAGAATCAAGTCTGAGGGCTTCGTAGGTGCCATGTCATATCCTTTTTTTTATTTACCCGGATCAGGGCAGCCGTGATGTCCAGAAACTTCAAGTTCACGCCTGCGATACCTGCCAGTGAGTCAAAAAGGCGGACGAACGTCGACCCCTCGGCGGACTGCCACCACCACAAGTCTGCACCGCGCACGTCTCTTCAAACAACAGACTCATACAGCAACACAATGGACCTTGTACTCGGGTCCCTACGTGGTCCATACGCGGAGGTAACCCGCGCAAGACATGCCACGATTGATACTGAGCGCATCTTTTCATGCGGTCACGGTGCCGACGCACGAAGACAGTCGAACCGTAACCGTGGCATTCCCGGTGACCAGCAACTTGAATGTATGATCACCGTAATCAATACTTTGCTAGCAGACCTTGCGCAATAATTAAAGCCCACACAGACCTACACTGCGGAAACGTGGTAACTGTGTTCTTGCCCTGGGTGGTTCAGGTGGCACAGTCACGGTCACGGTGTCATACAAGCTTGCGCCACAGACGCGTCTGCACAAGATCGCGTTTCCGATCGCTTGATGCAGGTGACGGACGCGTCGCGGGTAAGGCGCCGCTTGTGACGCGTCGCTATGCGTCATGAGAATGCAGGTGTTCCCATTCGCTGGGATCATGCTCGTCTGCCTCCGCGCCCAGGCACGCTCGCGAACGGCCGCTCAATGTCACCTGGACCTCAGGCTGGACCCTGGCAGATGTGAGATGGGCTCGTCGACGCGGGGAACGACGAGCACGGCAGGCAGGGTAGGCAGGAGGAGGCGATATGTACAGTCTATGCATTACTTTGGACCCAGCGGCGGCTCTTGCCAATTATACTCGTACAGCAGCGACACGACGACGCGAATACCGACACCAACGAAAGCGACAATCATGAGAGTCCATCATCCCCAGCGCATCTCCCGGATGCCACCGCGAAACTCCCGCCCCAAGCTCACTTCCGATCCTTCCAAGCGTTGTCATTGCCCAGCTTCGACCACCTCTCTGCGACTCCCGGCGAATCAGGCGCAGGGTTCCTCTCCGGGAGG